ACTGTACATCGTTTAAAACCGTAATTCAAATAAGTATACTTTCTCCTTAAGATTGAATCTTATGTAAGAATTCTCGTCACCTCCAGGAATATTTGGAGTACTTTTTTTTTTAAATATTTTGAATCTTTCTCCCTGGCTCATGTTCTTCAATAATCAACAAAGGTATCTTGCGTAAAACCTTGTTTTCAAAGTGAAGCAATTGTGACTGACCTGTAACGTGAGCTAGTTGTTGACTGACCTTGGCAACGGTTTCGATCATTGAGTGAGAATAAAGTTTTCTTCGACGTTGACTCTCGGTGAAGACAGAGGTTTTTTCGCTTCGTAATTATGAGGGCATTCTGCTCATAAACTTCAATATATCCAATTAAACTTTGCTTTTTTGAGAATGTGACAACTGTGGTTTTCAAAAGAGCAAAAAAAAAAAAAAAAGGAAGTACTTGAAATATTGCATCAATACTAATTTTGAGCACTATAAAGCATATGTTGTTTGTCTGGTGCACTAAATGGATTACGAACACCTTGCGCAACGATTTTTGATAATGACATTGCACGAGAAAAATTTAGAGCATTCACAGCATATTGTCAATGCAAAGAAAGTTAAATGGAAAAATGATCGATTTTGCCATAACATATCATCATGTGATGGGCAAGATAAAAGTATACGATTGTTTCAAAAAGTAACATGAATGAAATGAATGAAGAACTGAACATAAGACGTTTCTTTTCGAAGTTAAACCCTTTGACTAAATTGCGTAACATTATTTAATGAAGAAACCCTTATTGGTAATGGTATCAAAAGTAATGACAATAATGAAAAATAATAATGATAATAGTGATTCTAATAAAATATTATAGTAATGATGATGTAAATGACGTTAATAAAATCTTCTCATTTCGACATCGACGAAAGATTTTAGATGCCTGCGTCGAAGGCTGTTACATAACGCTGGCAAAGAAAGCTCATCCCCAAGCCACTAAACAACAATTTTCTTGAGTAGAATTTCCCTGAGTACAATTGCGATGTCCACAGAACTTTCCATGACGACCCCTTATGGCATTATGACTTCATTAGTATCATTGTTTCCTTTCCATATTCTTCATGTTCAAAATCCTGCATGTCAGTTTTTGATACTAGGTTTATAAAGGTAATAACTTTCGTATTTTTTTTTCAATCCTTTTTGTCTCATGTTTGTGAGCAAGCCGAGTTATTAACATGAAGGGCTGACCAAACACATTGGAAAGAACTTGTTTGTGATACCTCAAGTGGTTAAAATCAGATTGATTCAAACCAGCAGAAGTTCTTTTCGCGTTTTTAACGGTCTCCGCGGCACAAATATCTATATACTTACTAACGTTGGCTCGCATAAATATTTTCTGATCCGCCGTTGAGAAAATAGATTTTGTATGATATCTGCATTGTTTTCATCTTAAACTTTACCTTCGGATACCTATTAATTAAATCTTTGAAATGTTTCAAGTCACCAAACATAAGTCAAATTCCAGTTGGCATGCCCAATGTGAAAATTACGGCACAAATCCCTTTAACTAAAACCATTCTCCGAACTATTTTTACATTCTATGTTGCTTCTTACCACACTGATTTCGTTCTGTCCATCAACAGAATTAAGAAGCTGTACGCATACATATAAAAAGTACTGTAGTCAAGATACTCTCGTGTTTCAGAGTGAAGCTAAGGGCGTACCGTAAAACGCTATAGGTGAATTGTCTATAACTGTTTGCAAATGAAATAAACAGTTTACCTTCATTGAAATCGTCTTTATAAATGTTAGTTTTGCAAAAAATAATTGGGAAGTTCACATCATTATATGGTCTCTTGATGAACCTTAAAAATGATTTTTTGGAAGTTTTTTGCGGCTATTTTGTTTCAGGAACGTTGCAAGTGAAGATTTTCAAGGAACCCCATAAATTTCTATCTTATAAAAAAGTTTCAAAAGACAGGGGCGTGAGAGGAGCGCAAATTTTTAGATATTCTTAGGCGTTTAAATTATACATACACCTGAGTCATTAGGGTGATTTGATAAATTCAATTTGAGATTTAGAGTATTTATGAAGGAGGAGGGGTGGGAGGGGGGCGACCTCATTCTCTCATTTTCATCGATAACTGAACAATTCCTTCTTTGAGAATATTGCCACAACTTTTCAGGTTTTTCTAAAACTGCGAAACTACATTGTTGCATATGTTGTCAACTTTGTTTGAGCTCCCTCGACGAACTCGTCCAGCTCACGATCATCAAGTCAGGCAAAGCGCAGAACAGCCTACGAGCAGCCGTACCCTCTCCTCCGTTACACCGTGGCGGGGGGAGGGTACGGCTACACGTACGCTAAGTGCTGAAGTTCTTTTTTCTTTTTCTCTTGCTTTTTTCCTTTCCTCCAAAAAGCTAAGGGGGGAGGGGGGGGGGAAGATAGCAAAACCCTAAATCAAAACTTGGCAAATTGTTCTCCATTTCTAAAGTTCGTTATGTTAACTTGAAATTTTTACTCGAGTATCGCGAAAGCTTTAAGTTTGAAATGTTTTCAAATTGTTCCGACAAACACAAAAAGCGTGACGTCACAACTGGTTGACATACGCTCTTCTGAATTCACCGGTTGAACAATGAGAGCACGCTTACTATCTCAATTATTCCATAATTGAGATAGTAAGTGAAACAGGCTTGTAGGGATGAAAGTATAGTCTCTGTTCTTTTCCCTATCTCAGTATAAATATATTTGTGTGTGTGTGTGTGTATTGAGACTAGGAAAAAACAAAGAGACTACACTTTCATCCCTAAATGCTTGTCTCACGATTACTCGCTCATCAGGGTGAAATCCCTAATGAGTGAGTAATCACGAAACAGGCTAGTAGGAATGAAAGTGTAGTCTCTTTGTTTTTTCCCTGTCTCAATACATATTGCGCTCTACTTCTTCGTATCTGGCATTGTACTACGGAAAAATCGAAACACAGACTTCCTATGTATGTGTATATATGTATATGTAATGAAATCGTCATCGCTACTGTTTTCTTATATTATAAATCCTGAACTTAAAAAAAAGGAAATAAAATATAACTATAACAATAATGATTATCATTATTATTATTATTATTATTGTTATGAAACTATCATTATCTTACTTTTTTTCTAGTGTCTGAGGCAAATGGATTTGCCATCTTGTTATCTCTTTGATTAATATTCTGTGCGTCAGGCGGCTTTGTGCTTTGCTTAGTTTATACTGCGGTGAGGCGGTCTCACACGTTCGTATCCAACCTTAACGAAGAAGGTATTTTGATTCATATTTTCCCAATTTTTTTCGGTGCGTTTTCCTTGAATGGCAGTTTTTTTTTCTTAAGCTTTTAATTGCAAGAGGGACAGCTATTTCGCATAAGCTGATCAACTTTGCCGTACTACCCGCGATACAGATAACGGATTACCACGTTTTCATCTTGTTTGTAAATGGAATGTTTCCATGTCCATCTTAATTTGTTTTTTTTTTCCAACCACCTAATATGTAAATAAATTTCGACGTATCAATCTTTCATCATTTCGCATTTCACAATTAATGGGTAAAAGTGTTCGATGAAGCTTTGAGAGCGTTTTTCGTATTCACAATTATCTCGCTAATATGCAGAAAACCATGAACCAATCAATTTGGATTAGATATACTCAAAAAAATATGATATAAATTTGTTTAAATAACCATGTTTTTTTTTGTGATTTGTGGGATATTTCTCAGCTGTTTTAATTTATTCTACCGTAACATTCTACTGAAATATTGCTGAATAGAGATTTGATAAACACAATTCAAAACCATTGAAAACAAATTTTCTATGGATAAACATTGTGCATTTTCTTAAATCCTTTGTGTTGTTGCGGTCAGGCAAAGTGTCAAAATTTCATGGTATGAAAATCGTAGTCTTATTTACCCAATATTAATTTTTTCAAGTTTTTCTTTTGAACATCATTGATTTAGAAATATACTCCCACGCACCCTGAATTGGCTTAGTAAATCCTGTCGAATATTTCTCTGACTCCTCGTATTTTCCTCGCACTAACTACGGTATAAAAGCTTTCAGAAAAATGTTTCTTTTGCTCAAAGTTTTAAAGATTTCAATAGTATCGATTTGATAATTTAATCTTGTGTAAAAGATCGTCGCTTCCACACGCGAATCACAAACCAGTTACCTAGACCATACATTTCCTTAAAATTCTCCATTGCCAATTCGAAATTCACTCAGATACATTGAGCTTGTTAGTATATATATTCGGATATGGTAAACTAAAAACAAATCTTAATTCATTAACCCTACAGGAAACTGTTAAGGAAAACATCTCTTTCTTATACTATAAAAAACAATTATCTTATTGAACTACTATCTTGCATAAACCTCCGAACAAAAACACTATTTGCGTAAACTTTTAAACTCAAATTACCCTGGTGGTACCAAATATATTAGAAAAAAAAAATGAAAATTTTGAAATAGTGGAGAATCAGTACACAATGCATAAAAGCATTTATATACATTTTCCTTCTAAAAATTATTTTTATGTTGAATGATAGAGGAGCAAGTGTAGAAAGCTGTCCTGTTTTGATGAGAATTGCTTAATGTGTTTCCTCTTCCTAATTTATTTTTTGTCAAGGGGAGTTTGATATTTTGATCTCCCAGTTGGCTTCGAAATCAGTATGTATATTGAAAAAGAGGCAAAGAAAAAAGAAAAACGCCTGATATTAATCGTCATCCGAAAACGTGTTCTTAAATAAATTCAAATGCTACGAAATGATTTACCGTTTCTAGAAGTTTTAAAATTACTCGTGGATTTGCAGTAGAAAGCTACAGATAATGTCTGACATAAAAGACAAAATTTTGCGAGGAAAGGAACTATTATCTAAAAAATAATATAAGTGAGTTCTTGCAACACTAGCAATGCCAAATTGATGGAACATGAGAATCTACCGCTGTGGATCACACATGTTTAGTTCACCTTGATCTGGAAAAAGGGACTTACCTTTTACATTTGATTTGCTGCCCTTGATGCGCGTACTCTTGTTTGATAGAAACTCTGATTTTTCTTGAAAAGCCTCCCGATTTCTCAAAGAAAAGTCTTTATGGCGTAAACGTCCTTGTTGTATGATACTTGGTACGAATAATGCGCCCTTACCTACGAGGTGTTGAATAAAACATTCCATAATGAAGTCAGCGTGAACTGTGACGCGATTGGTCAGCCAGGCCAGGTGCTGAAACCGCTAAATTGGAGAAAGAAATTAATACGAAAAGTTAGCACAATTGAATTATTTTAATTGTCACCAGCGTTCAAAAACTGATTCATACAACGAGAGTAATCCGATTCGTTTGATGTGAGGTAAGCATTCATTTTTTTTACAAGGCGTCTACTTAAAGGGCTCATTTCGTAAGGATGGTTCAAGCTGCGGGACAATATCGCATTTTGATCATGTCGCATTTCTCATTAATTTATCCATACATTGACTAACAGACACCTGGTGAGAAAGATTAAATTGATCTTTAAATTACTCATATTTCTTTGCTATTTTAACCTATATGTAAACTTAATTTAATATAAGCTTGCGATGAATATGTATTGCACTCAGAAACGGATGCATTGGAAAAAAGAGATTTGGAAAATAAAAGGATTTTTCTGATTAATACCGTTGGGTATGCCCTTTGTAGTTTCTAATTTACGTAAATGGCTTACTCTTAGAAGAAATTAATGGTGTCAAATTTGATTGCAGGATAGATAACAGACACCACAACAGCAAATTCGTGGTTTGCGGTTTACGGGAACTATGCAAAAGCAACACATTTATAAGTTCAAAGACACAATGCGGGAATCTTTAATATTAAACTACTCTCTCTTGATGATAACTTTTTTCATCCTAGAAAGGAGGCAAAACTTCAAATAAAAAGATCACAGGTATACTCCTCTTTAAATGAAATTCTTACCGGAAGGTGCTAAATAAAAAGAGAAATAAATAAATGAAGAATTCTAACAAAGTAATGGATAAAAAGCGATAAAACTATTTGCTAATTTTAGTGCTTTCTTGGTGATTTTAGCGAATGACTGCAGGGAAATAATGTGAAATATTGATTTTATCAAAGATCTTTTCAGATCTTTTAGAAAATGCTTATATAGCCCTCGGAATAAAGTCTTTTTAAAAGGGGTTTCCCAGATATTGATAAGATATTACGAATACAGGCTTTGTCGGCGAGACAAGTCAGTGATGTGTGGGAAAATCACAATGTGCATTAAAGAAAGATTTCAAACAGTTGTCACGCGGCAGTGCGATTTCTAGCCAGTTTGGAGCCTCTGTCTACGTGTACCGCTGAGTTGCAAAGTATAACTCTTTGCGAGGTTTTATATCTTCGATTCAAAGGTACATATGGTGCGTTGTTTGAAACGGAAGGTGATGTTAAACTGACTGGGAACCCTAGACAGTTAGATTTATGACATTGTTGTATATAGCAGATAAAATCAGTTTATCTTGAAACTCTAGGTTTTAATTTTGTCCTTGTAGCTATGAATGATCTTCAATAATTATATTCTTGAATACAATGGCCCGTCTGTTTCCAAAGGGTCACGCACGTCAGTCATCGTACTTTTGCTCAGTCACTGAATACTTCCAAGGTTTTATTTTTCCGAGAACAATCTATGTTCATTTTTTAAAATGCTATTCGCCAGAAGTCACCTGTTCTGAACATTCCTCTCGGTTCATTTTTGCCGCCTGTTAACAATATTAAGGAAGTAATATTCAACAGAGAACCCGAATGTGCCGCTTCAGGTGACAAGCAAGCACTTTTCTTCGATAAAGAACCAAGACTTGCTATTAGTAATTAATTCAATGCTAGCGCAGATTTATAACATTGCTAAGGGCCTGATATGCAAGCAGTGCCTAACCGTTCATGCCATTGGTCGTTAGATTAAATAGATATTCAATGTCCGCTCACAAGAGTTATGCTTTTACAACGAGACAGGTTAGATAATCTGATTGTATCTAAATAGGCACATTTTGCTAATAGTTGCAATGAAGAAAGTAAAACAATAATCAGATGATTTGCTATCTTGGAAAGCATCTTTAATTTTCAGATCAAGCCTTTGCGACAAATCAGTCAATGAAAAGCCCAAGCGAATGGCCATGGAAAGCGATTTAATGAACTTATATTGGCTGATTATTTTCACTGACTTATCAGTTTTTAAAACACATTGTGGTCCATTCGCCGTGGCCTTACAAATTGTGTCGTATTTTACGAACGAGCTATAAATGGAAATAAATTGTTCATTTGTTCACGGAATGTTTCGGTGTTTCCCAGTCTGGGATATCTTTGCCCATGTCAGATTTTTTTCTTCTTCCTGATTTGACCAGCTGCTGAAGAATATAGGTTTAGGCAGAGATACTTCTCGATGCTTTCAGAAAATTAAACACGCCTTCTGCGTAAGACTGCTTGGGATATCGTGAAACTTTGTGAATAAACTGTAATCGACGAATTATGAAGGCTTTTTCAGCGACAGGCACTCAAGTATGGGGTGTTTAGTCCGATTTGGTTATTGATAAAAGAGCTATTTGGCGTTAGAAATATATTGCTTATTAAAGTCTGTGTAAGATTAATGCTCGGACAATGGCACGGTTAATGTAATGTAAGAGTCCTCAGCAAAAAAAACCTTGGATGGTACTTTGAAGCTTACGAGTTACGTTTCGGTTGCAACCTTAATTTCATGCCATCACAGCTCAATTATTTCAGTTAAAACTTCTTGAATATCACAACAACTTACCTGACCACGCAAGCTGAATGTTACCGCGACGCTCTGCTATCAGGCTGTGCACCGTTGCTAACTGATGAACCGTCAATGCAAAGAGGTTAGAGTAATTAAACGAAAAATTGTTAAAAAGAAAAATATATGAGATGCCTACAGCTCGAAGTATTGAAATAAAATAGTCGAAATGTAAACAGTCTTCGGCCGGCCAAACGATGATTATGTGAAATAAATTCATAATGGACTAAAAAAATGTTATTAAGTCTTTGTCTTTAGCCTTTGTCTTGTTGATAAGGAAATTAACCGAACATCAATTACAATAGACAATACGTCTTCCGCATTCTACACAAAACGGGTTGCTATTGCTCGTGACTAAGGCACGAACATTGAACTGAAAACAGCGCGCGGCTTCAAATCCTCACTGCTGATGGTGTCCATGCGATAAAATTTATAACCTAGTCTCCTTGTCCTTTTTTTCTTCATTTTCCATTTCACACGGAAAAATTGTGTCCTCCAAAAGAATTTTGCAACAAGAGTTCACTAAACTCATAGCGAGACTTAAAATCTGCAAGATCTCGCAATTAGAACTGTTTGTTCCCGCTCCCGTTTGTCTGCGCCGTAAATTTACAGGTAAATGTACTGCACATAGCTATTTTTAAGAAACTGAAAGCTGGGTGTCTTTAAAAAAAGGGGGGGCGATCGCTTTGAAGATACCTAGAGGATTATAGGCAGTGTTTACATACGAGAAAGAATACGTCAAGGTCCTAACTAAGAGGAGGGCTCCTGGAGACCACTTTACCCCCCCCCCCCCCCCTTCTCACTCAACAACGTTCAAAAACAGCAACGTGGTCATCTCCAAGGAGTAGGAAACCTAGAAATGGATGACTCGCTCAAATGGTCTCGTTTCAACAAAGTAAGTGGCCAGACAACAAGCGATGCACTGTGGAAGTAAGGTGAGGTATTGTTATTGAGAATTTGAGTGTATTCTTTTATTCCTAAGAGCGGTCGTAAATATTCCCATGCAAACTCTTATATTTTCGCCATGACTCCTATATTTCGCTGGATGATCATCTCACAGCTGGAGCTTGGCCTCACATCCACCACGCAGTAATTCCGTGAAATACGAAAACTGGAAATTAAATCGCTTTTGCATGGCTACTTCGTAACGCAGTAACGAGATAGAATTAAGGGCTCTTAAGAGAATATGGGTCGATTTATTAGCGGGATCATCACCCTTGGTTGTAAAAATAGTTTTTACTCTTTCACTACCCTATATATGGTGACTGTTTTCTGTTACATTCTGGCTGATAATCCGCGAAGCAAAACAAATCCTAACCAAACGCAACTACTCAATAAAGGGAAATTGTATTTTATTATTCATTTGTATATTTCCCTACTTTTGTTTCTAGTTCTTCAGTGGAGACCATCCATGTCACGTTACGGTTTCTAAAGAATTGTCTTTGAGCTTTTACTATTGTAATAGCGAGTGTTGGCTTTCAATTTTTAACCCACGTGGTGAGTAGTCAGTCATTATGTATAACAAACAATACATAACCATTCAGCCGGTCATAGCTGTCTATGGTATCAAATTTTCGGGTTGCCTTAAATAAACTCGTTAGTCTTATGTACCGTCCTTAGTGAAACTTGTCCACAACACTGTAAAAAATGCTTTTTTAAGTGCATTGATTGATTGGTCAGCGGTATCATCACCTAAAATAATAAAACATGAATTTTTGCTTCTTCTACTACATTGTGAAAACAATGTGTAAACAGCAAAAGAAAGAGAACCTAGAGAAAAAACAAAAGAAACTGCTTCATCGTTTAAAAACCAGTTTAATGTTTCTATCCGTAATAATATAATATTACAACAAGTTGTTTCAGTTTCAGCTACAAAAGTAGTTGTACTCTACATGAAAACAGCGGTACTGAAATAAACACATCAATGTCGTTTTACTGATCGAGGCAAAGGCTTTTCATTCTTTTGTGCTTTTATATGGAAAAAATAACCATGTACACCATGTCTTAGATTATTGAAATTACTGGCTACACAGTTGTTTAATCATAACAGCCCAATCAATAAGTCAACATTTTTACCCCGGTAATTTTAAACCTAACAAAAAGTATTTTCTTTAAACATTATCATTGAAGTTAGTTTTCCGTCATGGATCTATATTTGCAATGTAGAGAAGCGCGCAGGAATTCTCCTCGTTTACTTCAAGCTTAATTTTTTTTCTCAATTTTATATTCTCCAAACATTACAAATTAACGGTCCTGAAGTGGAATGTTGACCGGGTTCGGACGGCTTAGATTCCTACGAAATATTATTTCTAATATACCTGCTCTTAATTCTGGCATCCGTATGGCGTAAA